GTTCTGAGGGAGCATACTCCTCAAGATCATCACCCTTTAAATCATTCTGAGGCTCAGATGGTTTCGACTTGTGTCCTTTCCAAAATGGATCAAAACCCTTGGAAGTATACCGAAACTTTGGCGGCGCGGGCTTTTCCGCGGCACTGGATGGTGCACCTTCCTTCTCTGATGAGAAGCCTGGTTCCCTGTCCTTTGCAATGGGAACCTTCTCTGAGGAGGAGCGCACCACTGCATCGGGATCACCAATGCCACGGTGCTCAATGCCAGCCTTCCTGATCTTTAGATCTGGAATTTTGGCATCTGGTTTGAACTTAAAAATTGTTCTACCACGCCATTCATAGCCAATTTGTAGGTCCTTCCATTTTGCCTTGCGCCAATCATCTTGCTTCTTGATCTCTTCTCCACCTTTCTTCTTCTTGATGATTGTCAGTCGCAAGTCTTCCAGTAAGTCAGTGTCTACAGGACAGGACTTAGTTGCTGGAAAAAGAATCTTTCTATAATCCTTGTGGTGACGTATCAGTTCTCTCTTGTGAACATCTACTTCCCAGTAGTCAACCACAGGATATGCATGTTCAGCTACATCTTCATCACTATTGAGGTCAACAGAAATATGACCATATTCATAGTGAGTGAAGTGAGAGTAAAAACTCTTCTCGCGCCGAGTCTGCAAATTCACGTCAGACAGATACCATGCAATATCTTGGAAGTCCAAAACAAGATGAGTACTGGCTGCAACCTTCAACTCCAAATATTTGATACCAAGAGGCACCGATGTCAGATAAGCATGTTGAGGTGTCAGCCTGAGTTCAAAGCCTAAGTTCCTCATCTGTGGCAAGCTCATAAGCAAAGGGACTTCTCCTTCTTCCACTATGTCGAACTCTGTATGGTGGATCGTCCATGCGCGATCATACATGTAAATCACCAGTTTCTGAGAGCAAGTAGCCTTCTGGGAATTGGCAAAGTAAAACTTGCTCTTGGTAGCCTCAAAAGAGTACCATAATCCACAATCTGGGTGATTGTCGACATAGTTGCAAAAATGGTCGACTGCTCGCCTTGATCCCATAGCTCTAGTGCATCCAATGTCCAGGATTGCAATAGTTGGCGGGAAGCGATTCTCAGTCAAAAATGAAATGGCCTGCATCTCCTTCACTTCTTCCTCAGCGCTCATAAGCGCAAAGCCATCAGGAGCCTTTGTGAGCATCTCCTTTGACAAAGAGTACCTCACAGGGGCACCCATGCCATTGAAGATCGTCTCACCATTGTTGACCGCGCAGTCAGCTTCATCTTGACATGAGGTCATCATGCCTGACAGCAAGTCCACCTCACTGTCATGGACTTCAGCTGCTGCTGTCACACAATGTGCAAAGAAACCTTGTTGACCTCCTGATGCTTGTGAAGATCTTGAAGGTGCAGGCAAAGAACGTGGCTGTTGTTGATTTGCATAGTTTGCATCTTGTTTGCCATCTCCTTTATCCTTTCCTTTTCCTTTCTTGCCTTTTCTCTTGCCTTTTCCTTTTCCTTTGTGGGAAAACCATGCTTCTTCAAGCTGTTGCCAAAAGTCATTGGCATCATCATATTCTCCTTGAAGATAGTCATTCATATCCTCGGCAAGAATGGCATCATATGCTACTTGGTTTGACTCCCAAGTGTCCTCATAAGGATTCTCTTCAAAGTACTCTTCTGGATATGTTGTCTGTTGCTCATCAGCAAAATGGCCTTTACCTCGTCTCTTTCCTTTTCCTTTTCCACGAGGTCTGAAGAATCTGCGGCCTGATCTTCCTTTACCTTTTCCTTTTCTTCTTCCTTTTCCTTTGCCTTTTCTGGCTCTTCTTCCTTGGAATCTCCTTTGGAACCACGAGAAGTTTTGATCATCATATACCCAAAAGACATCGTCCAGGGCATCTAAAAATCCTTCAGTTCCATCTTCTTCATCTTCGGCCCAATAGCCAAATGTACCATCGAGTTCTCCTTCTTCTAGTACGAGAAATGATCTTCTACCTCCAGCACCTGTCGGCTGCATCAAAGGATTGTCTACTGAAGTCTTTGTCGTGCAGAACATCTCGATGAACACTGTCCTCAACTCTGTTGTGGTGTATTGCTGCAGGACCCTGCCACGATGAGTCATCAAAGAAGTCAAAGTGTTTCGCTGGTCCTGAGACAAATCTGCAAGTGACAGCATGAGTAAGGCAATCAGATTTTCTCCTAGAGGAAATTCGTTCTGATGAAAAGTCCTCATATTGCCATTGATGGTCTGCATGATTTCCTGAATCCTTTCTGCCGTTGGTGCTACTCCAGTCAACGCTGCATCTGCCTGCATCTGTGCTAGGACTTGTGGATGTGCTTGAGTGACTGGTTCTAACATGTCCATCCAACTGCTCATAAGCCTTTGGAGTAAAATCTGGAATCTTGTCATCCATTTCATCATGTCAGCTGATCCTCGATTGAAGCGCACGAATTGCATGAACCTATACAGGAATACATTGGTTGATCCTTTCACGAAATATGGTCGTAGTACTCGTTTGAAATATTCTACGCCGGCTCCTGGTGGATCATTTGCCTTCAATGCATCTCTGTCTAAAACACGCTTGTGTACAGCTGCTTCTCCTTCTAATCTGTTTCTCAATGCTGGTCCTCTTTTCTCATCTTCCAGCTCGGTGATATCACACCAATCGTCTATGGCATCCTCATAGGAAAACCATGAAGTCTTTCCATCATAAGATGGGGGCACCTTTGTAGTGACCTGTGTTGTCATTGCTATTGCTGCTGGTTCTCTTCTCACATGCCTATTCACGTAGGCTGCTGGCTCATAAGCCACATCCGCATCAGGCTCTTCCCAGTCGTCAATCCAATCCATGGCCGTTTGCCCACTAGCAAGTCTATGCCTAGGAAAGGAGCTCACCTGGGTCTTCCAGGATCACTGCTCCGCTACCACTGAAAGAGTGACTAGGGCGTACACGGTAGAGGTGCAGACCGCTAGTGTCTTTTATGCGCAGAGTCTTATCCTCTTGCTCTTTGAGCCTTGAAGCAGTCAAGCATGGACACACTATATCAGCTGTTGGAGTGGAACCCTGTACAGGTAGGCTCTACTTTTCAGGGGGGGGGGGTCTGAATTGAGCGATCAATTATTAGACCCGGACGTCCCAACACTTGCTTCGCAAGACAAACTCAAGGTATCCCCTAAAGGGCTACCTTTCGTGACAACTACACTCGTGTTTGGACAACCAATCATTGTGGAATGCACCGTCCCCTTTGCCTGAACCACACACTCCAAAGAAAATGCAAGTTATGCGCAGCATAACCCACCGTGGCAACAATATGAAGTGCCTTTGAAGTCACAAGGATAAAGCTGCCTTGCGTTGCATTGCATTGCGCTTGGGCATCCGGAAAGCAACATCAAGAGCCCAGCACTGGCAGCCAATGCTGCTGTGGTTGCATAAAGACACGCCCAGCCCACCTGCACATTCCTTTGCTTTTTGGAACACAGGCCACACGCCAACAACATTTAAAGACAATAGACTCTTTGCATCTATATACAGCACTCTCGAAACCCTGTCAAAACCTTTATTGAGCTGCTCTGCGCAACATTAGGCAAAACAGGAAGGGGCGCTTGCGGGCATGTCTTCCTCAAATCAAGGCCCCTTCGCAGGGCAAGTGTCAGTGGTCATGTTGCATGGTGCAAATATGTTGCGTCACACACCCGGTTCAAAATGTTCGGGCTGGGCAAGCAATGGAATGGAAGCCAACCTCAGAAGAAGTTAAGTTTCCCCAAAATCTAGGAACCAAATCATTAGTGCAAGCGTGAGCTATCCTGCGTGCATACTAGTAGCTACTTGTAGGTACTAGCTACCTCTTCTACTAGCGACTCCCTAGCTAGTACCTCCCAGCGGCCTACCCCCCTATTACTAAAAAAATAAACATATATATATGTATACATAACTATTAAAAAAACACACACACACATATTCTGCGCCTTGCCATCTGCACTACCATTGTCCGGGAAAACAAACTTGCTCTTGGCCGTCTCACGACGCCAACGAGCCAAGCTAGATGGGTTTGAGCCTTTCAAAGAATATGTGCACAGTTGGTGAATGTGTGGGCCAAGCTAGGTGTCTGTTTGCGTCAAGTCAGTCGAAGTCAGTGGGTATGGATAGCACAAGCAGCCAGAAACCGAACAAGATCCGGGCCAAGGTAAGCACAACGAACGGCTCTGCAAAGCCCTGAGATCCCGAAAAAGTACGAGCAACTTTTGCTATCTTCAGTGCAACCCCAGAGCACTGTGCTTCTGGCTTCAAGCACGGATGCTATTGCCACTAAAAGCACTGCTCCTTCATATCGCGATCCCTTGGTTGAAGCGGGGGTCTTTGAACGCATGAGCACATATACAGTATCTATGCATCTATGCAATGCATTCTGTCCAACCCGCGCACTGTGTCATGATAAGGGTGGCCATGTTCCTGGCCGTCTAAAAAGTTTCTCAATAACCAAGAAATCCTCACCTTCTCAGCAGAGAAGCTACGGGTTCGTGCAGGGATTGTCAACGGTTCCGCAAAGAGACAAATTGTGAGTTGGGAGAATGTGGTCTGTTGTTGCTGAGTAGATGGGAGCTGACGTTGATGAAATTAATGGACTCTTTGCAAATCGAGGTCAAAGTGTTATTCGGAAACTAAATGGTGATCTTCGGAAATTTACGGTTTTACTCGAACTAATCTTCGGAAGCTTGACGGTTTTCTTCGGAAACTATTCTTCGGACATTTTACGGTTTTCTTCGGAAACTAATCTTCGGAAACTAAACGGTTTTCTTCGGAAACTGATCTTCGGAAACTAATTCTTCGTCACTAGGTACGTCAATAACCCACCCACCCACCCACCCACCCACCCACCCCCACCCCCCCCAACCCCCCGTGCTCCTTCGTGCAAGTTGGATACAATGTGGAAGTTCTGAAGAATACTTGCTGAAGCCTGAAGCCTGCAAGAAAAAGTAGTTGCAGATCGCAAAACAGTTTCTGAAGATCGCGAAATAGTTTCTGAAGATCACCAAATAGTTTCTGCAGATCGCAAAATAGTTTCTGAAGATCGCGAAATAGTTTCTGAAGAACGCGAAAAAGTTTCTGAAGAATGCAAAAAAGTTTCTGAAGATCGCGAAATAGTTTCTGAAGATCGCGAAAAAGTTCCTGAAGATCGCAAAATATGTTCTGAAGATCGCGAAATAGTGTCTGAAGAACGCGAAATAGTTTCTGCAGAACGCGAAAAAAAATCTGAAGAATGCAAAAAAGTTTCTGAAGATCACGAAATAGTTTCTGAAGATCGTGAAATAGTTTCTCTCGAGCCGAAATAGTTTCTGAAGAATAGTTTATGAAGAGTAGCTGCGGAAGAGTACCAAATAGTTGCGGAAGAGAAGTTTCAGAAGAATGGAGAGTTGCGGAATAGGACGTTGTTTGCAAATCGAATTTGTAGCACCTGAACATAGTGAATGAAAGGCATGGGTTGTGGACCTCAAGCTGTGGCCTCCTTCTGACCAAAGCAATCTTCCACATGACTGAGCACATTGCTCCGTTCAACATACTGTCAAGTCTGGTTCAGTCAAAGATTGAACAGTTGGCCAATCTGCTCTGCTTATCTCCGCCCTACCGTGGCTGTGAATGTTGACCTGTTGTTTCTATAGTTCTAGCTGTGTGTGGAATGTGATTGAACGAAGAAACGTCTTCCCCTTCTTGTCTTCAACTTGTTGTTGCTCAGAGTTTCAGTGGATGAGTCATACCAACAAGTTCACCACTGTTCACACCAGGGAATGTGGGTCTATTGTGGCAGCACATTTTCCTGCCAAATCTCTGAGTCTGGGCTGGAACGAATCCAATAGACAACAAGTGGGCCAGCCGCAACCTGCACGAGAAACCAGATTTGGATTTGCATTTCAAGCAAAGATCGAGCAAAAGCAAATTCAAGATTCGCTATGCACTATGGCTGATGTTGCTGTGCCGGCCATACGGACTAAGTAGGACGCTGCACCAGAAGCACTGCCCATCCATCCCAAATTCACAGAAGATTGCAGGCCATCCTGCAGAAAAGGAGAACACTAAATGGGTCACGTGGCGGTCTGACGGTCTGTCCAAATCTGCTTTCGTGGATGGTGATCGCAACCTCGGCTGCACCAAGAGCACTAGCTTGTGAAAGTTTTGCTAATGAGAGGGTATCCATTCCATTCAGCTTCTTTGGCTCCTGGCGCCACTTTGCGAAAACCCTCTTTTGGGACAAAGAGAACTAAATTGCTCAAGAGCCTCAGCATGTATGAAGCTACGCAAAGCCATGGAACGCCTATTCAGAGCTCCTGGCTGTAGGGAAACATAACCGACTCCGTAAGCAGATGGAGATGCAAGGCGAGCGACCAAGACATTCAAGATGAACCTTAGCTTCCCGCAGAGACGAATGGCTGCATGAGGGGCAAATTTTGTGTCAACTGAGAGGCACACGTCAAAGCCCTGGACAGGACTTGAGTCGATACTACCTGGTTGAAACACTTTTGCTTGCATCAAAACATAATATATTGTGTCCTCAAAAAAGACAATCAGGTTGGCAAGGCTGCACCGATTCCCGCAAACAAGTCAGCCATCCAACCGCTTGGATGTATGAAGGCGCTTCATGCGTACTCACTTGGCACGAGTCATAGACTCTAGAGACTCTAGACTAATAGCGATGGCCTCCAACCTAATAGGAATGGCCTCCATCCTAGGAGCGATGGCCTCCACCCTAGGAGCAATGGCCTCCAATCTAATAGCGATGGCGTCCAACCTAATAGCAATGGCCTCCAGCCTAATAGCAATGGCCTCAACTAGACTATACTAAAGCGTCTTGCAGCTTGTGGGCCACCGTGCAGTGATCTGAGGTCAGCTGCAGTTTTGACATTGTACTACCCCTATGTTGCTGTCCTTTTCTTCCGCTCAACTTGATTCATCCCACAAGGCAGTGTTATTTGCAGGTCACGGCTGTGAACCAAAGCTGAAATGCAAGTCTCGCTCAAGACTCAAGAGCAAGTGTGCAGTGCTTGACAAGGTGTGATGCAAAGAGCCATCCTGCAGAAGCTGACATGTCAAAACATTTATATATGTAGGTGCTCCACATGAAGAGTACTGACTAACTGTTTCCAAGGTTGCCTTGTCAGTCGTATTCAGGGCAAGTCTCTTTTCTGCACATGTGAACTTACTCCTCCATTCGATCAAAGAGATAGTTTGCCGCTAACTCCTGGCACCAGCAGCGTGGCCAAACACATACAAGCAACCATTATAGATTAGTGTCTCGCACTATCACACTTAAAGTCTGAGCATGTTCTGTTGCAGCCCACTTTGCGGGCACACATCACCAGTGCACACAAATGTTCTGTCATCACAGCCATGTGAAGCAGCTTTTTTGCTAGGTTCTTGCAACAACTGGCCTCGTTTCTGTCGCAAGACAAGTAAGCTTCAACACACGCACGACGAGGAAATCCAAGCGCTTCTAAACGCTGGATTGCCTGGAAGCATACTCAAACCTGAAAGAGTTCTTGCTCTCGAGCTGGCTTCACTGTGCCTCTTCATCCCCTGCTCCAAGTTGGGGCCTGAGGATGCAAACAGTTTGCTCTCCGCCTCTCGGCCCTTGAACTAGGGAAATGAGAGCCGAGACTTTTTGATTCTGGATTCCTCGCAGGGAGTGTATGTAAGCCTCCCCGATGTTAAGGATCTCACGGCCGTGCTGGCTGTGCACCACGAGCCTGAGCCACGAAATCACGAGCCGGGTCAGATGGGTCAGACGGGTCAGAGTGCTACAAAGTAAAGCCTTAGCAGCCATTTCAAGTCCAAGCGGCTTGAGCAGCCTGCAGCATGGCCTTGGGTCAAGAAAATGGACACTCCCTTGAAAAGAAAGATGCAAAAAGGAACGTTAGGGTTTTTCTTCCTCTTTAAAGAGAGCCTTGCAGCCTTACATTCCTTTTTGCATCTTTATTTTAGGAGCATCCCTCTTCTTGGGGCCGTATTTATAAACGTTTTTGTCTTCGCTAAGCGATCGTCTTTTCCGGGGGCTGAGAGACAGAGCGTCCCTCTGTATCTGAGATCTTAGCTGCGATAGGATCAGCTGTGGGCGGTTGAGACAAAAGGCGAACGAACCTGTAAAAGAGCTCAGGGCGGCACACGCCTGCATGCAGCATTGTCAGAAGAGACATAAATTTGCCGGCGCACTCATCTTGGTGCTCCGCGATCAGCTTGATCATCTCAGGATCCCCCTGGAATCTTCCACAAATGTTATTCTGACAGAACATGTGAAAGTATTGTCGAAACGCTCCGACAACATGAGAAAGGACACAACGAAAGCCACGACCAGCCAACAACCGCATATGTCCGTTCTCTAATTCTCCATCTCTCGATCGCACTTCTTTGGTTATCAGGCCCTATATGTTTTTAAAAGTGCCCCTAAGGGTGGTTTCCATATGTTCGCTAGCTCTCTCGACCTCTTCCTCCGCTTTTATCCCGCGTCCCACTGGCCATCCAATGACCTGTCTACATTGACCTATGACCTATCTACACTCTACTCTACATGCAGCCATATATCCACATCTCCTTTCTGACCTCTCTATCTCTTTATTTATGTTTCTATCCGTGTATATCTTCAGCTTATCTCTGTGTCGCGCTGTCTCTCTGACACTCCATCCCTTGTAGCCCGTCCATCCATTCGTCCAACTAGCCAATTGGCCTATCCGTCTATCCACCCACTTGTTATCTTCTCTGTAGCCCTCTTGTCTCTATTCCCTATCTCTTCACCTTCTCTCTCTGCCCCGCTATCTCTCTAACACCCTCTCCCCTTCTATTCATCCATCCAGCCATCCACCCACCCACCCCATAGGTTCAACTAGGCATCCATTGGCATATCTACACTCTACACTCTACACTCTAATCCGTCCATCCATCCATCCATCCAGCCATCCATCCATCCACCCATTCGCCCAACTAGCCATCCATTTGCCTATCTATCCACCTACTTACTAGCTTCTCTGTAGCCCTCTATGTCTCTATCTCCCTATCTCTTCACCTTATCTCTCTGTCTCGCTATCTCTCTGACATCCCGAATGCGAAGTTGCTCTTCGTTGTCCTATCCCCACTTTCCAAGTCTACACAACCTATCCCAAGAACACCTGGCCCGACAGGACCGAGAACGACGCCCGGACTGACCAGAAACTCTCCATCCATATCTACCGATCATGTTGTTACATCTATCCAAACCTACTTCACCATCTCACTATGCTTATATCGCTCTCCACCTCTTCTGCTTTTCCCTCTGTCTCGATATATCTCTGACATTCCCTTCCTTCTATCCATCCCTCCATTCACCCACCCTATCATCTAGCGACGCTACACATGCACTAAAGAACCTCCCTATCTCCATTTCACACTATCTCCATTTCTTCTCTGTCTGTCTCGCTATCTCTCTGCCACTCTTGCCCCTATCCATTCATTCATCCATCGACCTACCTACAAGTGACTCAAAGTGCTGATGATGCTAGCAATGATGCGTATGAATCCTCGACATCACTTTGACCAAAATTGGCACCGACACCACGAAGACAACAAAACCGACACGTTTTCACCCTCTCCGGCACACCTAACAACTCTCGCCTACCCTAGCTTTTGTGACAAGAAAAAGACCTGCTGTTTGTCTTTTTTTGATGCCTCGAACGCCTACACATCCAGCACAGAGTGTATATATGTGAATGCAGCGAATGCATGGTGTCCCACTGTACAAACTCCGCCTTCGCAATGACCGTAAGGACTTGGTTCAGTGTACTTGGATGCTGTTGAACCTTGGGAATCGCTCCTTTTGCCCTTTCAATTCAACACGAGTCAAAAGAGCAAATGATGCCAAGCAACAGCCTGCCGTAGAGCATTGAATTTTGGATGGTTCGCCAGCGGTGCCAAAGGTCCTGGATGACAAGGTATGGAGAGTGCCCGTGCCAGTTGCTAAACAATCTTAGATACCATGAGCCATTTGAATCTTTTGTGTACAGTTTTGCCACATGTCACCCAAACTGCCTGTTTCCGGTGCTGGAATAAGCGGCCTCCAAAGCAAATCAGTTCCGCATGGCACAAAGCACTCCGCTTGGTGTTGTGTGTGTGTGTGTCGGTGAACGAACATGGCAACGCTTGGCATTGTCTGAAAAAAAAAAACGAAGTATCACACCTCGACGGTTGCTGCGGCATCTGTCCTCAGCCACGGCACTTTCGACATGGCAAGCAGCGCAGCTCTCAGGTTGAGCTCTCCACCAGGTGCTGGCGGCACCTGATTTGCGGCCAGCACAAAAAAATGAACCAAAATGGAATAAACTCTTCCAAAACAAATGCAACTGCTGCAATTAGAATGCTGAAGCCCTCAATAGACCAGGTCCAGGTCAGTGAGCTAACATCTGAGTCTTGCAAAATTTGCTGTTCTTGAAGCAAAAACTAATCGCTTTGAACCCTTTGGCTGCTACCACTGGCGGAGCTGGCACAGGCGCTGGAGGAGCTGGCGCAGGTGCTGGTGCAGACCCATCAGCCTCAGAGGTGCTGCAACCTGGACTTAAAGCAACAAGAGTCAACACTGAAATATTGAAACAAAGAGCAAAATGAAGGAGTAGTGTCTCCAACTGACAGAAGCAAGTTAGCTGTTGCTGTCATGGTCATCGTCGTGGCTGTGTCTGGGTGTGGCAGGTGTGGCAGGTGTGGCAGCGATAGTCGTGCTACTCACAATGCGCGCCAAAAACGACTCTCATGCCTAAGCAAACCTTTGCCCTGCCCCCAAGACTGTAGAAGCACTGAATCAATGTATGCATGCTGAGATATGAAGTTCTGATGTGATTCCAAAGCAAGACTTTGTGCTGTCTGCCGGCAAATCCCAAAAGCCGTCATGGAAGAGCTCAAAGGGAATCTCTTCAAACAAAACAACAAATTGTAGAGTCCGAAGCCACCAGAAGATTGAATCAAAAGTGAAAAATATAAAGACCCCAGGAATGAGCAACTACCAAAACGTCAATGGCATCAAAAGCAACTGTACTGTTGCAGCAAGGCTGAATATGAATCCTAGGTTGGGCGGTGTTCGTTTCTCAAAAGATGTGAAGGCTACTGATGAGGCTCACCAAATAAAAGCGATGTTCAAGGTTCCAAAATGCAACTGAAAAACACACGCGCAGCCACGCAATTACTGTACACAGTGCACGTCCAAGGCAATTGAGGCATATTGAGGTCATGGTCTCCAGTCTCGAGTTTGTTGGTCTATGAGTCATATTATTTTTTGACACCTTGCGAACTGGCAAACAAATTTCTTATTCTTATGTAACGAATTTCAAGGCGCAGCAGAGACAACATTGAGAATCAGCGCACCCCAAACTCGGATATAAGAGTGCCTTTGACACAGGTTTCCATGCACGTGGTGACGTGCTCCAAAAGAATGCTGCGCATAGTTAATGTCCAATCAACTCAACCGCGCGCCCACACACAAAAGGTCAAAAAGCAGTAAAGTATGGTTCACTTGAAGTCTCAACTATTGAAGGACTACAAGCTTGTTGATATTGTGAAAGAAACCCAAGCTTTGCCTGCTATTTGATAACCAGTGCTTTGAGTTGCCAAGTCCGATTAAAGGTACAGGCCAAATGTTGCAAATGTGGAGGAATGCCACTCATGAGGTACTCCACAGCCTGATTCAAGATGGCAGATTAACTCCTCAGGTGAAAAAATAGGATATCATCCACAAACGGCGAAAGGAATCTGAAGCATTTCACTGCATGTGGAACAAAAGACTTGGGGACTGAAGTTGGCACTCTGTCAGCATTGTTGAAGGCAGCGCGCAGGCATTGCCTCAGAAGGCAGCTAGAAAATGACAAGCAAGGGATCATTCACGAGGTTGCCAGAATTTTGCACTGTCTTGGCCGGCCTCACCAATTCTCTTGGAAAACCCATCTCACAAAGATTCTGCACTGCAGTCCTTAGGTGTGAAAGGTACTCTAGAAACGCTGTGGCTAAACACAAAGCCGCACTTCATCTATATAATTGCAGTTCAAGGATCTCATCCTCTGCCTGACAGAGAACAACCATCAAGATATCCCCAGGAACCACATTTGCACTTCGCACACTTTGGACACTTTCACACTGCACCAGGGCAACGGCTGGAGCAGGGGGCGGGGCCGCTGGAGCGGCGGCTGCTTCCGGAGCTGGAGCCGCTGGTGCAGCTGGAGCTGGTGCAGCTGGAGCAGCTGGTGCCTCAGCCTGGCTGAAAGTGTGGCTATGGTGAATCGTGCTCTTTCTGAACAGAAAAGGTCATGACTTTCCAGCCTGCTTAGCTTTTCCCATCATTATGACCACGAAATCGCCATCAACAATGCCGACATCCTGCAAACTTGCAGAGTCAGTGGTAGAATGGTAGAACAGAGATGAACGTAGAAGGATGCAGAAAGTGTGAACAATTTGACCTACCTCAGATGGATGTCGACTGATGAATGCATCATTTACTTCCAAGCCAACAAAAAGGCTGATAGACCTTTGATTCCGTCTGTCTGGAAATGCTTGCCGAACAAAAACGCTCTTGGGAGCTTCCTGCAGAGTGTCAGCATCCTGCAAAACCTGCGGATGCAACAGGAGGATGCATCTGGTGTCGCAAACTGCAAAAAGTCTAGTTGTATGGTATCACCAAGGCCAGCAGGCAGAAGGCCTTGCCCTTGTGCAGGACCTTCTGCAGCTCTGTGGGGAGTTCCTCAACAAAGGCAAGAAACGGCCAACGGAGCCGATGGAAGAGTGCAATTAAGAGTGTGTTTAAAAAAAGAACCTCAATTTGCAAGTTCTCAAAGGGTATATTTTGGAGAAGCGAAGCTCTCTAAGGCTGCTGCTGGTTTTGTCGCTGCGATGGCCTCCTTTACCGCCTCTATCAAATCTATCGCTTGCAACTTGAGACTTTGAAGAATCCGAGAATCTCGCCGCTTTGGTTGCACATGAAAGTACCATTGTACAGGCAATTATTGGAAAGCTTGCAAACAACCACGAAACGCCATTGTCCAGTGGCCCTGCACTGGTGTTTGAAAAAGGATTGCAGGTCAGAAACTTTCCCCGAAATACTCGCACGAGCACAAGGGGAGACGAACAAGAACCGAGCGTGCAATAAAGTGCAACGCAAGTGCACGACGCCACAGCTGCTGTATGCATATTCGCATTTCCGAAGCAAGGGTTCTTGACCCAACAATTTATGTGTTTGTCTCGGTGCTTAATTAATTGATCTATACTGACCACCAGAATACTCCCTGCATCAACGGAGTATTTGTACCCGAGAAAAGAACTTCACGCATGCACCAAAAGCCAGCTGCAGTGCCTTGAGGCTGCGTGATGTGTGGTTCGCAGCAGTTCGCTGGGATGCTTTGTCACAAATGTTGGAATGTACAGCACAGATGTAGCAGTCAACGCACGGCCACACAAATTGGGAGACCAATGGAACCGTTGACGTGGCCAAAAACGCTGTGTGACACACTTCGATTTGAATCCTGCCAGACATCTTACAGTAACCAGATGGAGGCCATCGCTATTAGGTTGGAGGCCATTGCTTCTAGGTACGTAGGCATCTTCAACGTGCAGTCGGCGGACTCTAAGCACAGATTTTGACTGTAATTCAAGGCCTTTATGGTCCACACTGGTTCAACTTCCAGGTCAAAGGTTTCCCCTTTCCTGCCAATGATTTGCGATGATCCATGACTCTTGAAAGAGATTATGCACAAGTTGCTCGATTACCCAATTCAATAGATTTGCAAAGAATACTTCGATGTACAGCAATAATGATGCCAAACATCCCTGAACAAGTTTCCTCTTGTGAGACACCCAACTACATAGAGTCTCACCTCCTCCACCAAGAACGCTCTATGTTCGACTCACAGACTCCGGGAGAGTGTTGCATCAAACAAGCCACGGATACAGCGGTCGTACCTGCAACTTCATGGACCTGACCACACAAAGTTGAGAACAGGCTGTCACGGTCTGTCACGGAGAAAAATGGTCCCAACAGGCAACTGGACTTTGCTCACCGCACCTTGTACCAAAGGAAGCTACGTTTCCACGAATTTGAACTAGCTGTGCCAATCCGGCCAATACCCTGTGCATGTATGTAGTGTATAGTTCGTCTTAACATGATTAGTTGAAGCTGTCTTGCCAAGGCTTTGAATGAAGGGCTGTTTGGAATCCTCTCACCTGCAAACAAAGCTTTGCAGGCAACCATGGTGCCTTTGTCTAAAATGCTGCAGCATTAGGACATATAAGCACAAGAACTATGCTCCTTTGCAGACTTCCAACAGGAAAGAAGCTCCGTGAACTCTTTTGGTCGCGCAATTGCTAGGCTAACTCATAAGTCTACGCAGCTCTCAGTATGCTTTTGCGAAAATTGCCCACCTTCGAGATGGCTTCCCAGTCAAGGGACAATCCTGCCACAGCAAGAGGGCCAAGGGGCAACAGTACGCATGGGAAATCTCGCACAATACCCGGGCGATTAACCTACCGAAGTTGAACATGGGTGAAACATTTTCCATTTGTCTGCAAAGAGCTTCTCCACAAGAGTAAAGTGAGCCCATGGTTTGTTGTCAAAGTGCGAGAGATGCCCTTGGTCTTTAGCTCTCTCATCTGTTCAAGGGGCCTTCTCGCTGGCAATCGTTTTCTCATCTGGAGAGGCTGTGACAAGTTTGGTTATTGTGCTCATCATCTGCATTCGGCAAGGTCAGACTTGTGAGGGCAAAGCAATTGTATACATGTATATATATATATACAAGATATACAAGCACTGTCTCAATCAGCGACAATTCATCCATGCGTCATCAATCCCTACAGGGCCCACATACACTTCCCATGATGAAACAGTTGCGGTCAATTTGCCGGTAAGACAAATCCGTGCGAAAGGGTATTAATACCACAGGTCTCTTATAATGTTTGCATGGGCATGGGTAGAGTCTCTTAGAAGGCCCAAGGCATCCCAACGGTCTTGGGGCCTGTCAGCATTTTTGCTCTGAAGTCGTTGGTGTACACATTGAATTCATCTATTCAAGCGGAAAGAAGTAATAATAGAAACCAAAGGCGGGTGGCTGACCGGAATGGCATGACAATGCATGAATAGATTGACTGTGCAAAGCAAGTCGTCCAACAAGCTCTCAATCATGCACTCGTCTGCAACTCAATCAAAAACTGATGTTCCATCCTACTTACTCCTGAGACGTAGCTATGCAGGCTCAGGATGATTTCAAGATGTGCTGCTGCCCTGGAGGCTACAGGCCCAAACCCTCGTCCTTGCATCATGCTGCTGGATTCTTTAGATGTGGCAAGGAAGAATCCAAGGATTAGCAAAACCGCTGGAAAGAATGTTGGACTCCCACATTCGCAAACAACTCACCTCCTAGGTCTCCTGGCTTGAACACAGGCAGAACCTTTCACGCCAAATGTTGCGAAATGTCGCGAAGTTACATAATATTGTGATATATTCACTTTTTTGTTGTAAGCTGCATGCTGCTAATGCAAACATATGGCAATGTAATGTACAACAAAGCAGCAAAAAGCCATCGTGCGGCAGGACAACTCCAGAACGGCGAAAATAACTTCTACAAACCACATGCACCAACAAACAGACAAAGCAAACTAGCTGCTGTACCACACTGTGCTTCATCGAGGTTAATGTTTCATCCTTGTCAATTGCACATGCTCTCTTTCGCTAGGCCTTTCCCAGCTATGAAGACGTAGGAATTGTGGCAGCAGTGGAGAAACGGACACACTAAACCCTCCTGCTCGTCCGGCAGCTCATCTTGGTCCAGCGGATAACACCTCAGGGTCCAGCAAGACTGTGAAAATGACTGTGAGCTTCCGCTCTGTGCCTTAAAGTAACCCCGGTCTCTTCTTTGATGCTGTCCTGGCTCTGTCAGTTGGAAGGACTTGATCGAGGAAAAGGAAAATACCAACCTCGTCATCGTCATCACCGCCCCATGGGACAAGCATCATTCCAGGCTCATCCTCCTGACTTCTGAAAAGCGGTGCGGCGTAAAGCCCTACGCTGAACATTCCCTGCCTTCAATCTTTTATTGAAGTCGGAACGAGACTCTATTCGAAAAATCAAGCGCTGCCTGGCGCACACCATTCACAAGATCGACTACTGTACTTCAGTGCAGCAAGAATGTCAAGGTCACCGTCTTCCAAAACTATATATGTCTCCAAGCTCAAGCCAACAAAAAGCCGACATGAGTGCGGCTCGGTAAACTTGAAGTTACTAGGAACAAGAAGCTACTAGGGGCTCCTGTCATCGCTACTAGGAGCAAGGACGCTACTAGGGCTCTTGGCCTTACTACTAGGAACAAGAAGCTACTGGGGGCTAAAGGAACCAACGACCTTCGGTGGTGAGTCTACTGAGCACCAAACTTCAACTGTTCAGAGCGACTCTTGAGCTCCGATTTCATGTCAGTCAAAGCGCGAGACACCTCCGTCATGGATGCACGAGACTGGTAGCTAGAGACACGGCCAAGCTGGAAATAAAGACACCAACAACTGTTGTTGAGGTCTTGGTCTTGGAAGTCTTTTGTGGGGTCAAAAAAGAGATTGAGAAAGAAGGTAAGGGAGGCTTCCTTTAAAAGGGGAGCCCTTACCTTTTTTTCATGTGTGTTCCTCTCTTCTGGTATTTGACAATGAAGAGAGTTTGAAGCCATTTGATCCGTTCCAGCTGAAGCGATGTTCAAGGCCTGCCTTGTTGGAAGGATCTTCAAGCGGGACTTCAAACTTTTCACCACCTGTCCGAAGCTTCCCCAGGGCGATACCTGCCATTGCCAAGACCAGGAAACAAGAATGGAAAGTTTATCCACAGGAGTGAAAAAAAGGCAGAAGAAGGAGGTGTTGTTTCGCATTGCATTGCATCGTGGGTGTGGGTTGTCCCGGGTCAGCGCAAGTGGCAGTTTCCCAAGGGCCAATTGAGTTTACAACGACGCTTGAAAGAGATCAGCTACGATCTAAAGAGCTTTGTGAACGTGTCTTGTGTGTCCCCACCACTTGTGACTGGCCAAGCTAGAACAGAGAAAGTGCTTGAAACGACCAAGCACACGGCCGCATGAAGCCAAGCCAGCCTTTCTCGAGATCTCGCATCCCGAGTTCAAGTCTAAGAGGGACTCCACGGCGTTCCTTCGACTCCGAACAACAGGAACTGTTATATATCAAGTGAGGGAAACAAAGATGATATAGATCATGATGTGCTAGAACCCTCTAAAGCTGCGTCACTTTGAATCTGGAGATCAGACCCACTCGAAGTACTTTGCTCCAGGTTTCATACCTGTCATGGGAGACACAAGATTCGTTGTTCTCTCAATCCAATTGTCCAAATATGAGCAAACAGAGGCACTCAATCGATCGTCGATGTGCACCTCGGACTGCCATTTTCGAACGGCTGTTCATCTTCATGCCTCGATTTGGGTTCCTGGCTCTCATTCCAACTGCTGTTAGATCCTTGCGCAAAGCAGCTGCCGCATCGAGAACCGATGCCTTGCCACTCGTGCACACGGGTGTACCACTTGCAACAAAGTGGATTCAAGCGCACTTTGGCTCCCTACATGGCCTGCTGCTGCGGATCCTTTGCATACAACGGCCTCGGAGGCACCATCACACACACCTTCCTAAGGTTTTGACCACTCACAACAATCAAGAATGTCTCTATATACAAGACATATATAGATTGCTAAGTTCACATGTCTGCAATCAATAAATGCATGAAAGCTGCAATATCACGACCTGAATGGCAGCTAAAGCAGGAGGCATGATAAGCCCTCCATCATCTGAATGGGCCTCAGAAACACACAAAACCAACAAGAGTTCCATGAAGAAGCAAAAAGTGATTTTTTTCAACATAAACAAACACAAGAGTCAACGGCGTGGGTTGAGGCACAGGGTGCGTGACCTACATCATAAATGACATGAGTGAGTTTGGCAAAAAAATGTTGCTGAGAACTCATGACATCGCTCGGTGTTTAAAATTGAATGCGGTGGGCAATTTGTGTCCGAAGAACGCGAGTCTGGCTTTGGCCTTTGATCTCTGTATCAGGGGTCGATGACTGTCATCAAATCTTCAATCTCTGGTTTTGTTGTTTTTAGGACATCATTCACATTGAAACTTGAGTTAAGACTGGCATTGGCGCTAAACAAACCATCAGTACCATACGGGTTTAAAAAACAAAAAAAACATATTAAAAAAAAAACATATATATATATATAACATATATATATAGTGTGTATATAGATATATATATATAATATATGCTCCCCCAAAAAGAAAGAAACACCGTTTTCTGACAAATTTTTTGCTTGTATGTCAGACTGTGAGAGTTGTCCTTGTTTTTTAGATGGTACAACACTGCAGTGCATGAGCTGAAAACATGAACGTAGCAATGGTAGATGTTTGTATCTTGTCAGCATGCCGAAGAATTTGCTAGAGATTTCAATTCCTTGGCAGGCCCAAAAAAAAGAGATTTAGCGGCTGTAAAATTTTTGAATTTGTTGAGCCTGCCAAGGAATTTGCAATTTTTGGCCTACCCGACCTTCAAAAAACACTGGCAGGCTCAAAATAAAAACAAAATGCATAAGCCATAGTCACAAAACACTGGCAGGCTCAAAAACGTCAAAAAATATCAAAAGTGATAGCATCTATAGAACTGTTTGTGGTTAATAAATTTTTGATTTTTTAGACTGCCAAGGAATTTGCAACTTTTGGTCCACCCGACCTTGCAAAAACACTGGCAAACTCAAAAATCAAAAAAAAAAAAATACCACCCCCCAGAGTCCCTATAGTTCCTAAAACTGTTGATTTTGTTTTTTTTGAGCCTGCCAGGGTTTTGTGACTATGGGCGTTTGAAATGTTTGTTTTTTGAGCCTGCCAGTGTTTTTTTTGCAATTTTTGGTCTACCCCACCTTGCAAAAACATTTGCCAGCTCAAAAAAAACAACAAAAACACTAGCCCCCAAAACCTTTTTCCCGAAAGCATTGCGTAGAGTTCTTCCGGAAAATCCCTTGAACACTGACACTTCGACACTTACACTTACACACTGACACTTCCACCACACTTGCACTACAACATGAACGCTATACGTACCTCAGTGTAAGTGGAAGAGCGAAAGCATCCAAGTGCAAAGTATGCAAGTGTCAAAGTATGCAAGTGTAAGTATGTAAGTGTAATGATGCAAGTGCAATGATGAGTGTGCAAGCGAGGAGTATGCAAGCATGCAATGAGTATGCAAGCATGCAATGAGTAGGCAAGTGTGAGCATGGAAAACTAGCACAGGAGATGTCCTAATGAAAAAACCTGTCCCCACTTTATAAATTCTCTCTTAAAGGCAGAGGGTGGGACGAACAGCGTCAACCGAAAATGCAACCCTCTGCGGAGATCGTGCGCGTCGAGTGCGCGAAATGCAGGCGAGAGTGCGATTTGCAACCTGCGCGCGCAACCCTCTGCGGAGATTGTGCGTGTCGAGTGCGCGAAATGCAGGCGAGAGTGCGATTTGCCGGCTGCCCGCGCAACCCTCTGCGGAGATCGCGCGCGTCGAGTGCGCGAAACGCAGGCGAGAGTGCGATTGAGTCTGTGCGCGCGCAACCCTCTGCGGAGATCGTGCGTGTCGAGTGCGCGAAATGCAGGCGAGAGTGCGATTGGTTCTGCGCGCGCAACCCTCTGCGGAGATCGGGCGTGTCGAGCGCGCGAAATGCAGGCGAGAGGTGCACTTTGTAGTATCACTTTAGTACGCGGAGTATCTGGGGAGCTGGAAGCTGAGAACTGTCGACTTTGTAGTACAACTTTAGTACGCGGAGTATCTGGCGAGCTGGAAGATGAGAACTGGTGACTTTGTAGTACAACTTTAGTACGCGGAGTATCTGGGGAGCTGGAAGATGAGAACTGGCGACTTTATAGTGCAACTTGAGGAACTGGCGACTTGGTTGTACAACTTTAGTACGCGGAGCAAACTGTGGAGCTGGAAGATGAGAACTGGCGACTTTGTAGTACAACTTTAGTCCGCGGAGTAGCTGGGGAGCTGGAAGCTGAGAACTGGCGACTTGCTAGTACAACTTTAGTGCGCGGAGCAATCTGTGGAGCTGGAAGCTGAGAACTGGCGACTTTGTAGTACAACTTTAGTACGCGGAGTAGCTGGGGAGCTGGAAGATGAGAACTGGCGACTTGGTAGTACAACTTTAGTACGCGGAGTAGCTGGGGAGTGGGAAGATGAGAACTGGTGACTTTGTAGTACAACTTTAGTACGCGGAGCAATCTGTGGAGCTGGAAGCTGAGAACTGGCGAGTTTCTAGTACAACTTTAGTACGCGGAGCAATCTGTGGAGCTGGAAGCTGAGAACTGGCGACTTTGTAGTACACTTTAGTACGCAGGTATCTGTCTGTGGGGGGCTGGAAGATGAGAACTGGCGACTTGGTAGTACAACTTTAGTGCGCGAAGTATCTGGAGAGCTGGAAGATGAGAACTGGCGACTTGGTAGTACAA